TGATGTTGAGCAGCATACCTTGGGCAACACAAGAAAAAGCCTTTCACCGATTCAGAATCAAGAATACCCGCAAGTAGTTGACGCACACGATACACGCTATTTTGAAGACATTTTCGTCAAGACTAGATAACCCAAGTCAGAGGTGGTTGCGATCAAAAGATACACGCTATGAAAAAGAATAATCATAGAACTTATAGTAAGTAATGGGAAAGAGGGTTGACCGTGTTTTTGGAAAGAGAGCCAGAGTTTCGGAAATCTAGGTCCAGCGAATTCCAGCCAGTGGTTGCGGATGGAAAAAAGACTTTAAAATCTTGCAGTTTACAAGGAAATTGTGTAAATTTTTCCCTAGATGGGCAATAAATCAATTAAATAATGCATGTGGAGCAATATTCTTAGCAATTTCGTAAAATCGGCTTGATTTGTGAACTTCCCTCTTGATACAAAGAGGCTCCCAAGCAAGTTCCTTGTGTACAGCCGTCCGCCATGACAGTTCTCGTAAAAAATGCAAGGAGTGTGATCGGACGATTACTAGAAATCACCGTGCAACCATATGCGACTGCTGCTCGTTGTGGTCTCACATTAAATGCGGCGGTGTGACCCCTAAGCAATATCTAATTTTGCAGTCGTCTGGCAGTACATCGCACACTTGCGAGTCATGTATGGAGGCTCTTCGCCAATTACCTTTTGCGGACTCGAGTTTGAACTCCAGCACAAGTACCAACAGTTCTACTGGATCATGTTCCGACGATGAAACATGGAGTAAATATGATGCCTTGATTAAGAAACATTGGACCAACATTAAAATCGGACATGTTAATGTGAACCATATTGCAGGTTTTAAATTCTTTGAGGTCAAGTATTGGCTATTAGAAGGAAAGTTTGATATTTTAGTACTTTCTGAAACGAAGCTGGATTCCAGTTTTCCAGATAGTCAATTTATGGTCACCGGATATCGAATGTGTAGGGCTGACAGAAACATACATGGCGGTGGTTTATTGGTCTATATCTGCCCAGACCTCTGCTTAAAAGTCATTAAAGACCTTCCCAATCTTCGATTATGTGAGCGTGAACGGTACAAGACTGAATCGATTGTGCTGAAGATGAGGATAGCTAAGAAGTGGGAAACCATCGTCGGTATCTATAGACCTCCAACATCTGCGTCTGTCCCACAATCGCTATGGAAATTTGAACTATCCTCCGTACTTGAGGCGATCACAATACTTCCTGGTAACTGCTTTTTCGTAGGCGACTTTAACTCGGATATGTTACTACAAGACAAGCCGCCAAGGGATGGTAGAGTTATGGCAAACCTACTTGATATTTACGACTTGAAGAATTTAATACATGAAGCCACCCGTATTACCAAGACATCAGAAACCCTACTGGACCTTTTTCTCACTGACAACTTGAGAAAAATACAGTCATCAGGCGTAGTCCATGTTAATATAAGTGATAAATCTCTTGTGTTTGCCATGCTCAGGGCATCGGAACCGAGAATACGATCTCGGAAAATACAATTCAGAAGCCTTAAAAATTTCGATAAACAGCATTTTCTACATGATTTGAATAATGTTCCTTTCCAAGTAGCTGAAATATTTGACGACGTTGACGATAAGCTCTACGTGTTTGATTGTCTATACGAGGACATTCTTGGTGAGCATGCACCTTTGAAACAGGTCCGCATAAGGGGAAATCAAGTTCCCTTTAGGAATGAACAATGGCGCAAAGCTATTCGCCAGAAAAACCGTTTGTGGAAACGTTTAATCCGCGAAAGAACTGATACTAATTATGAATTGTACTAGAGACAAAGGAACATTTGCACTTCTCTAAGACGTAAAGCTATTAAAATTTCTTCGACAAGAAAAGTGAGTCGGAAAACCCAAGGGAGTTTTGAGACACATACCGCCCATTTTTGCATTCAAGGAAAAGCACGCAAGCAAATGACATAATATTAAAAGAACACGATGTCGTGATAACAGACAAAAAACAAATGGCGGAGCTTTTTAATAGTTATTTTGTCAACATCGCAGACGGCGTGCCAGAGATTACTGAACAGAGTTATGGAAAAGAGTTGGATGCGCATCCTAGCATTCAGGCGATTTTCAACAACAATGAACAGCTCGCTGTGAGAAACAAATTTGCTTTTCAGTATACTAATAAAACCCAAGTGGAAGCTTTGTTACTCGAAATCAACTCCCGCAAATCCTGTGGTCATGACGGAATACCACCGCGACTGGTAAAAGAGTCTGCCAACGCGATTGCTGGTCCTATTGCTGCAATAATGAATCACTCGATCAGGACAGGACAGTATCCGTTGCGCTGGAAATTAGGTCAAGTTACTCCTTTATTTAAAAAGGACGATGAGCTGAACAAAAGAAATTATCGACCAGTGACCGTTTTACCTGCGCTCAATAATGTTTTCGAGAGGCTGCTTTCAGCTCAAATGGGCGACTTTTACCAAAACATATTGTCCGAATACGTATCTGCCTACAGAAGGCACCATAGCTGTGAGACATCTTTGCTTAGGCTGACTGAGAATTGGAGCGTAGTCTAGATAATAAAGAGATCGTGGCGGTTATATCAATGGATTTGTCAAAAGCTTTCGACACCATACCTCATGCTTTGCTACTAGCGAAACTGAAAGCGTATGGTTTGCATGAATCCAGCTATGCCCTTATCGGTGACTACTTGACGGATAGAATGCAGCGAGTGAAAATTGGTGATACTTATTCGGATTGGATGAGCGTGAAGCGTGGCGTGCCCCAAGGCAGCGTCCTGGGACCCATGTTTTTAAACATGTTCCTCAATGACCTCATCTTTCACATTAAGTCTGTAAAACTAAACACTTATGCTGATGACTGCCAACTGCACACATCTGACGTAGACCCAGTAGCCTTGGAACAGCGGATCAATCATGATGTACAAATAGCAAACAAATGGTTCGAAGACAATGGGATGAAAGCCAACCCCGCTAAACACCAAGGGATGGTTCTTGGCAAAACCGATTACCCTTTCTCCTTCTCAACCACAAGATGCCTGGAACTTTTTGGAATAATTCTTGATAATGAACTTAATTTCAAGGAACACATATCCTCTGTATGTAAAAAAATAAATAATCAGTTCAGTGTCTTCAAAAGATTTGGCAAACTTATTTCTACCGAAATTATGCTTCGCCTTTATAAAACGTTTATGTTACCCCATTTTCACTACTGTTCAATGATATGGCACTTTTGCAATTCAGAGGACTCTGTTAAACTGGACACCTTAAATAGACCTATTTTAAGATTTGTTTTAAAGGACTGGGATTCGAACTATGATGATCTTTTAGACAAGGCAGGTGTGTGTGGTTTAGCCAACAGGAGGATACAAAATATGATGATTTGTATATTCAACTGTCTCCATCTTGGTAAATATCCGTGCTATTTAAAACAACTGATCAAGCTAAGATCTACTGCTTACTCCCTAAGAGGCACCAATATTTTATCACTTCCTAAGCCGTTTACAACCACATATGGTCTAAATTCTTTTAGCTATTCATCTGTTAAGTACTGGAACTCCCTCCCTGACCACTTTAGAAAGACTGTAGATAATAGTGAATTTAAGCGCAAACTGTTAGTGCACAGTTTCTGTTAATATTACATTAATATTACATTATATTATTATATTAATGATTATTATATTATTATATTATGAATTTTTTTTTTCTCTTTTTAGCCTTGTTCTTGCTGTAACGTTTAAAATTAGTAATTAGGATCGGAGATACTAGCTTGTAAGCTACACTGAAATCCGAGGATAAATAAAGCTTATGTATGTATGTATGTATGTATGTATGTATGTATGTATGTATGTATGTATGTATACAACCTACAGACTGGCTTTCAAACATCTTGGAGAAAGAGAAGCCAAACGGGAAACTTCGAATATCCATTGATCCCAGCCAGACCATCAATAGGGCCATCCAAAGACCCAGGTACAAAATTCCGACAATTTAAGAAAGCTTCCACTTCTAACCAATGCAAAAGTGTTCACTATTATTGACCTCTCAGAGGCCTTTCATACCATCTTCCTAGACGAAGAATCATCCTTACTCACCATATCCATGGGCCAAGCGGTCACTTCTGCTACACCAGGATGCCATTTGGGATAGCCTCTGGACCTGAAGAGTATCAACGACGCCAACATGAATTCCTAGATGGTTTGCAAGGAGTAATAAACATTGCCGACGATATATGAGTTTTCGGACGTGGCAATTCAAAAGAGGAAGCTGATATGGACCACGATAAAGATCTCACCAACCTATTAGAGAAGAGCAGTAAGCATGATCTCCGACTTTCTACGAAAAAGTTTCAGTTTAATTCTTCTTTTTCCACTTTCATGGGGCACACAGGCTCACAGGCAAAGGAGTGTAACCGGACCCAGCCAAAGTAGACGCAATCATAAAGATGCCAACGCCTGTTGACAAGGCTGCGATACAGCGTTTCCTTGGGGAAGGTACGTTTTTTATTGGGGGGAGGGGGGTGGGCCGGCGCTTCGGAGGGGAGGGTCATTAATAAATCTTTTACAAATTGGGGAGTGTCAAACCTGTTTTATTCGCAGCCGGGGGAGGGTCACAGTTTTTTTTGGCAAGGAAAAAAATTACTTCATGTCACTTAGTTGACTCTTATTCCTTGACAAACACGCGAAGTGTATAGAAACCTAAAACTTGTATATACAAGCAAAGCTACCAGTCAAGATTAATCTAACTTATTTACAGGAGTCGAAATATTACATCGAAAAACTGTCTTCTTCCAACTAACACAATCGTCTCTCTCGACTCGTGCCCGCTTTCGTCATATTTTTACGATGGTAAAGTTTCCGCGGGGGGTTCTGGTATAAAATCAGTCTCCGGTGACGATTCGTCACTTAAGCTACTCGGGCTTGAACCGACAACTCGATCTACTACATCACTTTGTGAGTGAGTTTCAACCTCGGAAAGTGATGAGGTCACTTATTGCTCCACA